AAATAAATATTTTCTTTTTTCTATTTTTTTTTAAATTTTTGAACACCATTACACTGAACATTAAATAACAAAATGTAACAATGTTGGAATCATATAAAATCTGGAATTTTTTACGGGAAACAAAATACACCCGGTCAGCTGGTTGTGTATATTATATGATATATTAATTTAAAAAAATAAAAAATTCCATGCAATTAATATGTTTGAATTACACCATATTGATTAAAATTATTAGTAGAGAAATCATCATTATTCGTTTAGATAAACAATATAATTTTTAAAAATGATTTGTTCTTCAATGACATCATATAAATCATTAAACTTTGGGACTTTACTAAAACGTCAAATTCGAATAATATCAATCCATATAAACTTCCGTCTCATACTAAAGTTTAACGCTTCCCGGTACGTTAATAACCACAGTCTACACAACGACTTCAAAATACAAACTTATCTATTCTTGGTATATCTTAACCTTTAATGCGGTATATCACATTAGGTACTTTGAACAATTTCTTGTAAACGTCAAATATTAATCAAACCTTCTTATTTTAAATATTACCTTTAATAATACATCACCAGATGACAATTTATTGTCTACATCGTCTCAAAATGTGATTTTTTTTCCCGTTTATTTTTTAAAAGTTCAAGGAATTCATACTTCAAAGTACTTACTAGATCCGACTTTCGATCAGAATCCACTTTCAAAGTTAAGACTGAAGGGTTTTTATTCCTCTATAGGTCACGTCGAATCAAATAAAACCAACAACATTGTTGTAAAACAATTACATTACATTACTACATATTAATATGCATTATATACATTCATCGCTCCACTCTGAAAATTATAAAATATCAGTGATTCAATTAATACCAGTATACCAAATTTTCAGAATCGTCGAGATTATCTGACGACGTCTCATAATAGTATTGACATATTTTATGCACACAACCGTTTATTTTTACGGCAGTTTATTACAGCCAGGGGAGTGATTAGAGGGGGGGATTAGAGGGATAAATCCCTCCTAAAACTCTTTTTTTGCTGTTAACATTTTGATCAAAGTATTGGTAATTACCATTAATGTTTGCTAAAAACGTATATCCCCCCCCCTAATGAAATTCCTAATTACGCCACTGTGAACAGCAAAGCAAAGAATATATGAGTTCGTCCGTCCGTGTAGCACGTAGAAATGCGTTAAGCATATTATAGGGGTCGCTGAACGTTTTAATACAATTTGCGAGCAAACGTAATAATATTATAGCTGCTACAATCTTTAAATGTATATCTATAATATATATTATTGTAGCGTTCAATGTATGTTAAGGGGATTCGTGTGTATTAGTTTTAAGTTTATATTATATTATCGTGTATAGGTAATGCGCCGAGCGTCAATGTGCGAAACCTCCAGCACTGCCTGCAATCACATTTTCATAAATTCATTATATTCTTAAATATTAACACTATATACATTACCGGCCTCCCACCAATACTGTTCCCAAGACCGACGACCGGCTACCTCAGGTCCGTCGGTTTACGTACTCACATCTCTTCTCTTCCTGCCGCCTACGGTGACACATGGTAGAAAATTATAATTGTATATCCGCGTTTTTCTTTAAGACATGGAGTAGCGACCATTGAAGTTTTCCCGGCTATGCCCTCGGAAAGAACGTTTGGGCGAAAAAGGATGATCAGACATCGACCGATGTTTGATCCCTTCTTTGTTAGCATGTACGTATTATTGTTATTATTATTATTATTATTATTATTATGGTCATTATTATTATTATAATTTTTTTTTTGTATCTGGCTGGTACAATGCGTTGAGAATCATACATTTATATATTATAATATACGTTCTAAGCGAACGACCGGTAACCGCCTAGAGGAGCCGTTGAGAATTATTATTTATTCTTATTAGAATTATTGTTAAAAATATGGTCGTTTGGTCAAATTATTATTGTCTTTGTTCTTTTATAAGTTCGGGTTTTCCGCCCGTTAAGGTTTCTCGGCACCGACTCAATACATTTAATTTTATTTACCTAAATATTATGTATTCAGTTTTATTTTATAATTATTATTACTGTGATACCTACCTGTGGTTCCATCCTTTTGGCCTCTCATTACATTATTACGATAAAAGAAATCCACGACGCTCCGGCCCTTCGGGTCTCGGCTCATTATTGGCGACCTTGCTTAAACAGGAGGGTAACCACATGACTCTCGAGTCATGAGCAATATGTCTAGAGTTGTCACAATAATATATTATAATGCTTTTGGAAATTGTACTTTGTAGTGATTTTATTGTTTTGTTACTTGTGTAATGGAATCTTCGACTAGTTGTTAGACATTATAAAATAGTGACATATTATTATACTGTGCAGTGCCAACATAATATTTCTTTTGCATGACGACGAGTGACGACGTACGTTAACTGTTGTCATTGCTTAAAAAACCATAAGTTCAAACTTCAAACGAAACACTGTGATTATTTGTATACGTACGAGTATAACGGATTATTCATAAATAATCGAAATTCCAAACACGGTCACCAATTTATGGGGAAAAAAAACAAAGAAGTAGGTATTATACTAATATTAACTGTGACACAATACCAAACAACCAAATACAATAATATAGCTATTATTATTTAAATTCGTAACTATATGCTATTCAGTCGAACTCAGTCAACTCGAAGTTGAAAACACTGGCCAAAAGGTTCGAGTTTCCAAGGATAATACAATTATAGGGAATTCTAGTGACCGTTAAAAAGTTTGAGGTATAGACGATTTCGAAATTGGATTGTATAGGTACATTACATAACCATGCGGTTCCGACATAATTTTTGTTCGCACGACGGAGAAGACGGCGTGCGTTTACTTTAGTCAGTGCTTAAACAGTCGTAAATCTTAACGAAACACACTGATTGTTAGTAAGTTCAAGTATAACGCGTTATGTTTCAAATGTATACGGGTATAACGTAGGTATGTAAGCATAAATCGGTCGGGGAAACTAAAAATATATAAACGATCCAAACACGGTCGCCACTTTATGCGGACCGCAAAAAAACAAAGAAGTAGGTATAATATAGGTAATATTATTACGATAGGTAGGAGAAGAATTTCTTGTTACAACGACCGCACACGGATTCGTTATATTATTAACAGAAGGTTGTATATATATATATATATATATATATATTACTACTTGTTACTATATATTATTACTATTATTATTTTATGTATACACGGGACGGTGTGCCGGGCTCCGAAGATAAATACGATATTTTACTATCGTTATTACCGTTATTATTATTTTTCTTCTCGCAACCGGAGGAGAAAAACATCCGTTTAGCGCGAGATGACGACGGGCGAAATATTATGTACAACATTAAGATAAAGCTGACGGGCAGAAGACACCATTTTCGGCTGTGTATATATATATATATATTGTATCATATACACGACGATTTATTTTGTTTCTGGTATATACCTATAGTAATAATAATGATAACAATAACAAGAGACTTTATATATTATTATGTATAGACCGCTATATTGTAGCGCAAACACAAAAAAAAACATTCTGTCACTTTTTTTTTAATAATCGTTGATCGCAAAAAATCTATTCATAGCACACTTGGATGAACATTATTTATAAATATTTATGATGTTTCCAATTATTTAAAATATTTTATAGAATACCAAATCGATCCTGCTTTAATATTTAATCTTGTCTGATTAATCTCCTCCGTCCAAATATTGTAAAAGCTCCCCAAAATTATGAAGTGTTTCATGTGAAAATATATTATATAGATTTAATAATTATATAGCACCTATATTATATTATTATAAAAAAAAAGTCAAATATTGAAAAGGATAGATATTGTAAGACATACTGACAATAACTGCATAATTAATACATTTGCAAAAAAAATAGAACAATCGTGTAACAATAATTTGAATAAATTATATTCTTTTAATGGTCTTTAAATTTTTTGTTGTATTTATGTGTACTTACAGGCTGTTAAAATTTGTTATGATTCAATTGAATTAAATATGCGTTGCAATGAGGTTTATGTTTCAATTTCTATCATAATATCATAATATATTTTAAAGGATTTCCATCTATGCACCAGCTTCATAAAATCCTTATCGACGCCCAGTATTGCCACCTGCAGTAGCATATAAATGAGAAACAGCTCTTTTCAGAGCCACCAAAAAAGTGACACACCTAACGTGATGCCTCCTTAGGGTTCGCTCTCGGACTACTCGTATTCTATCGACGGCACTTACTTCAGCGAGCATTGACTCAACTAGGGGGGGATTTAGCTATTTTAAATAAATAGTTTTGTTAGTCTCCCCAGAATTTTAACCCTAGTTGCGCTTATGTTAGCGAGCACGAGGAATACGGTGGTCCCGACATTGTTAATCATGACCAATAAAACATTCCCGATATTGTAACAAAAGGTTAGGCTCTTGGGTACGCTCACCACGTTAATCACCTACATAGGTTCTATTAACGGGTAAGAGCCCGCTGTCCATGAATTGTAGGTACATATAATAATTCAAGAAAAATATAATAAATTGAACGTGTTACTGAAAAATCGTATTATAAATTTGACGATAAGTGAGATAAACAATGACTGTGTGACCGTTTCAATTTGTAGTTATGAACGTTTCACGGGTGTTTAAATCTCTATCACTGAGATACTTTACATTTGTAAAAACTGCATAACTATCGTTAATTGGACCGGGGTTTTCAATGACTTTTCCTTGTAAACATGAGAAAACCAACAAAAACAAATACCTACCTACTTATTAATCAGTATCCAATTTGAAATAGAATATAGAGCATAAAACGTATAAGGTGGTTGTTAGTACAATAGTACCTATATGTTCACACTTCTTTAATCACTGAAGAAATCAAAACCTTCCACTTTAATTGAATGGCAATAATAATGACGGCGATAGTATATTAATGCACAGACTGTTCAACTTACCCAAGACAATCGCCAATGTTTTCGTGGCTTTTCTCTCTTTTCTCGCCGAAGACTTTTCCCGTTTCTTCCGGCTTGCCTTGTTCACCTTGTATATGGTGAAGCGACTGCTTCCTTCTGTGGTCGTCTTATAGTCTTTTTTCGAACACCTCGAACCATCCTCTTCGGAACCGTTCCGGAGCATCGACGACAGCGAACGTTTCACCAGCGACTGTGTCGTTCGACTTGATCGGTCTAACGGCTGCGGTACAGCCGTCGGGGTAGCCGCAGCAGCCGTTACCGTGACCGTGGTCGTCAATATCGTCGCCGACGCCGTGGTCATCGTGATTGGTGACGACGCTGCCGAGGAATCTCTGCGTTTTCCTGGTATCTAAATCAGGGGAAATCAACTCATAAGTTTTTGGCACAGCAAAACATTATATAATTTGTGCTGGTGGTCCGTAGTTTGTTTTTGCCGGTCTGAACGATGAAAAAAACACGAACAATGTTTTAACTTTGCAGGACATTCTAAACTGAACAAAGTTTTTTAATCCTAGGTTCAGCGAGTTTATGGTTCTGAAATAAATCCAAAGTGTCATCGCTACTGGTTTTACACAAAATGCGTGAAAACAGTTGCGTGGCCATGATGGTGACTCGATAAAGGTTATACGTAGGGATTAGCTAGGGAACGGATTTATAATATTATGTAAATTTTAAAACCATAATTCTATCAGAGTTAGATGTTTTAAATCTGATAAGAAATATTCACGGTAAAATGACACAAACTTTACTTTAAATAATATTTTGCACGTTTAATGTAATAATTGTCAAGCTGTATAGTAATTAAGGGTGTAATCTAAGACAATATTATACATAGGTATTTTAAATGGTAACTATTTGATATGGTGAACACGATGATAATCCGAGTCAAACAATTTAAAGGAATAATTATTTTGAAAACATATCAATTGATTTTTATTCAAAGAGATTTTAATAACATTTTACTTGGAAAAATGAAAAGTTCACACTTTGTATGATAAGTGCTTCACTGCAAATATTACGAAATTATTTTTTTTTCTTAATTTCAGACATTATTTGATGACATGACGTATTATATTAATATAGTAATATTATGTACTGATATTATGATGTAAGTGATTTATTTTGTAACTTAAATTAAGATTTAAGTTTTCCCCCAGTACATATACAGTAATTATAATAACAAAACTACAGAGAAACCACTGTCTATACATACTCTACGGTGATTCACCAAAAATACTTTCCCCTCCATTTTATCCTTTAATGATGAATTTATTCAAATGCTGATTTTTCAATTTTTAAGTTAACTTATAAGGACCATTACTTTGATGTACCTATGCACTTAGATTTGTGTGTAATTTTAGAAGTGTTCTTTACAAATACAAACTAATTTTGAATTATATAAGAACCAGTCTTTTATGATTTGTGATCAGATAATTCCTATTAAAATTGTGATGTATATAATTCAAATGCAGACGACTATAATAGTTTGTGAGTAATTCAACTTTATATACTAATGATTAGATGATATTATAGTTCCTAGAGATATAAAGCTATAAAGATTGGTGGTATGGGGCTTTAAAAAATCAATGAAATCAATTATTAAAATGTAATAATTTGTAAGAATTGTTTAAGTATAAAAGTTGGTACTATACTAAGTATCACAAATACTTTAAATTGTACGTAAGACTATTGTTATAAGGCCAATTATTCTTAGAATATAAAGTGTAATAACACAGAAACTACTCATTCAAATTTCGATTAAGATGATGCATCAGCATTTTAAAATAACTATCTAACTAATGATTTCCATTAAAAAGGGTCAGTGCTTCAACAAAAAATAAAAATTGCCACAGGATATTTTCTCCTTAAATGGTATACAAAGTACAAACTGATACATTTGAATATATTATGGTAGTATGTAATTTGCAAGTATAGTTAAAAAATTCTATAAACCAGAATTTGAATGTAAACACAAAATATGCATTATTAAAGGATAGCGAAGAGAATGAGCAATGCGCATGCTTGACGGTTCATGTGTATTATCTTACCAAACACCTTTTTGCTATAATCCTGTACATCAAGTGCCCTTTGTAATATAATAGTTTAAATAAGGTTTTTTTCTATGTAATTTTACCTTATCACCGATCTTGTCGCTAATGGAGCTGACTGTTTGGTTAGGGTTCAAGACCCTTGTTACAAGATCGATATCCTGTGGTCTGGAACCCAAGTTTCCGTTTGGGTCGGCAGTTAGGTTGGATGGCGTGGCCAACGTCGCCACCATCCTGCAACACAAATATTTAGCTCGATATAGGTACTTCGTCGCAGGTTATAGTATAATAGTATAATCGCTATCTCGGGAGGCATATTATATAATATTATTATTGTGTCGAGGAAACAATGCAATGGATGCGGCAGTGATGTAACGTATAATAATATAATATATATATAGTAATGCAAAGTGCGAATAAGGACAGTTCATAAATCTAATTTATACCGTCCAGCTTAAGTGTTACATTATTTATCAGGGATTTATTCTTTAGGTATTATATACTTCTAAAATGTGCTGTATAGGTATGAAATAATGTAGCATTATATTTCGACTACTTTATTTCTACTACCGAGCTGTAGGTGCAACGGATGCTCAATGATTTTCTTAAAATAATTTTGCACCTAATACCAAACGATCCTACGTTGCATGGCAGTATCGTAGCAAGGGTTGGCGTTGGTAGAATGTATGTCTCTCCCTCCCAAATTCATTTGTACGAACAATTGTGTCATAAAGGAATAGGTGATAAGTATTCTTGTTCTACAAACACTGTCTAGAGAAAAATTAAGCCCCCCCCCCCCCAAAAAAAAAAAGTTCCGGCTACGGCTCTCTCTGACATTGATAGCAATAATATTCTGATGGCAAAAATTGATCTATGCAGCGAAACACGAGAGGCATAGGTCGTACTATTACAGAAAAAATGGGCTCGTGAACAATTATTATTATTATTATTATCAGCGTACTTATACACTCTGAAACGTAATAAAGTTTGTTATACCATCGCGTGGAAAACTTTTTCAATTTTCTCGCGGCAGCGGCGGCGGTTGGCTGGCGATTCAATTAAAATAACAATTATCGTTCGATAAAACATCTAAAGCATTCGCTGAATTAAAACGACGCGCTTCGGACGCTGCAGAACAGTCACACGGAGCGTGCAAAGGCGGACGACGACGACGATGACAATAATAATAATAATAATTATTATTATTATTGTAATAACGATCGTTCGAGTTCCGCCGAATCGTCGTCACACTGCAAACTCGAATAGGTCTCGAACTCACCCGGCCAGCCCGACACGACTACCCGGTGAGCGATTATTATTCGCAGTCATTATATTGGAAATGATAGCTAGTTTTGCCCGTGTACGAGGGCAATAAGCCGGCGGCGGCGGCGGTGGCGGGTGTGTACGTCCGACCGCGATTAAACGGGACGAGAAGTCTCATCAAAGCACCGAGTCGTCCCCACGCCGACTTTCCATATTATATCATGTCTCGCACGTTTACAGTTCGGCGGTTATCGTTGTCGTCGTCGCCGAAGTTTTAGTTTTAGTGTCGACCCATTTGAACGGTCGTCCGCGCACGACTCTAACGGATGACCGAGGATCGACGCAAAGTTATAACTTTTAGTTTATTCGTGCCACGTCAGGAAATATGAATTATTATTATTATTATAATTCCTTTAGGGATCGACGCGTTTTATTCATTAATATGAAAATATCGTATTATGGCTTCAAGACAATTTGTTTTTCGCGTCAACGCCATGATCTAAATAATAGACTTCAGTCTTGGTCTCACGAGAGATTCGTGAACGGTCACGATATTCCTCAAGAGTCTATATTATTATATTATTAAGAAATAAAATTAATTTCAACTTTATTTACATTAAACATAGTATATCCGTTTATAACCCAATATCTCCATCACAGTGTAGGTATAGCTAGTATAATGTTATTGTATTTTTTGTAGTGCATACCGCATATAGCTAAAATGCACGTCGCAATAAAATATTTATTGTCTTCACATTTTCTATAACCATGTGAAACAGAAATTGAAATGAACATTTTCGTTTTTAATTTCATTTTTGAAATATTTTGAAATTACTTTTGATTTCTTAAATAGTTTTTAACAATATTTAAAATTGATTTTTTTTAGATTTCTTAGATTAGGATTTATTATTATTAATATTTCACATCACTACATCAAAAAAAATCAAAAAATTGTAACAAGTTATTTAGTTGCCTGTTAAAGATAGACTATTCTAGTCTAAAGATGTTTATGTACAAAGAAAAAGAAAAAACGTGATAGGTCCTGCACAATAATAAAACATCATAATTAATATATACGTTTTATATTTTAAGTCCTGGTCTGAACGCAGACGATATAAGATTATAAGTGTTAAAAAACACACACACACGTGCATAAATAAATGCCTATTATTGTTAGTTGAAGATGATAGTTGGAATATTAAAGGCAGGTAAACAATACAAACGTTATATAAAACAAAAAACGTGGGCAAGTGGGTGTCGCTCTGCTGTACAGTAGGTTACAATAGGTGGGTCACTGTAATGGATAGTGTTCAATTTGAATTCAATGGTATAATATAATTGTATACAAAAAAAAAATGATTGTGAGCGAATATGGTCAGTCACCATATTATGATACATTACTTATTATTAAGTATATATTTTGATGATATTATTGTGATAAAGTAATTTATTTACTTACACTTAATATATTTACTAATCTTGTTTTAAATTTTTAATACCTAGCAATAAATGTTGAACGATTTATACACTTAAACTACAAAATCATTTTTAAATTTCAAATTTGATCAATTTTTGCAAAATTCGAACGTTAAAAATACTTATAAAAAAATTTGTGCCCATGTATTTTTAATATTTTTTAGCTTCTATTGTAACAATATATCAGGATCCTTGTATTAATTGTTCACGCTTTTTGACCTAACAAATACAACTTTATTGACATTTATAGAAAAAAAACTAAAAAAAATTGAAACTGTACTTTAAATATATTCGAAAACAGTCAAAATATTTTGAAAATGTTATCAAGTATAGGAATTGATAAGATGATTATTCGTTTTTAAATTACAAAAAAATAAAAAAATCGCTACTGAGAAATCGAGTGAATATAATATGTTATAAGAATTTAAACTTCAAACGCTCATAAAGTTTAATTTGACTTTCTTATAGACATTTTTTTTTTTGATGAAGGTAGACGAACTTATAAGGAATTTTTATTAAATTTAAGAGTACGATTTAGCGTAAAAATACCGTTTTTCAGTAATTTTCGTTTTGTTTTTCCTTGTGCTATGAAAACTATTGAAAATTTCAAATTTTGATCTTCCAAATACCCCAACTAGATTCATATTCCGTCGAACAAGATACTGTTAAAGAAAATCGAAACAGTGTTACTGTTCAGAACAGTGATGACAGACAAAATTAAATAAAATAATATTTGAGTATTTGAGAATATACTACAAATTGTATAATATAAAATAAAAACTATCACTTTTACAATTTATTTTAAATTTTATTTGATGAATATTTGTTTACATGTTGTACTGCTTATATGAAGACTCTAGATTATTGAAAACAATAGTAACTATTTTATATATATTTTTTTTAACTTTGGCATTAATATATTTTATAAACTTATCTAGATTTTAATACTGACTACAGTTCTTTTTGTGAATTAAAACTATCCTAAATGATTTTTAATTAAATAATGTTATCTTTAATTGTTTGCTGAAACATTTAATTATGTTGCTTTAAAATATATTTTAAATAATTTCTGACTATTTGTGTATTTAATTTTTGATCCTCAGTATTATTTCATGATGGAAGTGAACAATAAATGTTATTTATATATTATGTTTTCCTCGAGGTTACAATGGAATCCTCTACTTACATAGTTTATTGAAGTTGTTCGTTAATTATAACATGTAATTTAAATATTCTATGAAAATAAAATTCAAGAAATAATACAAAATATAATACTTTATCAATGTGTTATTAATTAAATGTAAATTAATTTTCTAACGGGCTACAAAATGCTCAAGTGATAAAATATGTATAGTTACAAAACACGAAAAATGTAAATCCTCTCATCTATAGACTATAGGTAACCTTTAATCTACGATTTGGTGTTTCAAACAATCCCGCGGTATCTCTGAATTTTGAAAAGTTAAATAATATAATAATAGATATTGAATCTGCAGTCTAATAAGGCAAATTTCAAATATTAAATCAATTATAACATTCTCACAAGATATTGCAACATTACGTAAGATTCACACTTACGCAGTTTCCTCCATGACCGTGGACAGGATAAAGTCTGTAGATTTGTCGTTATGTATGATGTGACAGTCATCCGAGCCGGGTGATCCGCCCTCTTCTTCGTCGTCCTGTTAACACAAAAATCCCATTAAAGCACCCCGAAAGCATACCCATTATTATGTGTGTTATAATGATAGCAGAGGGCATTGCGTGACCCACTCAGTAGAGTTTGTTGTATACGTATGCTGATAAAATACAAGGATTTTTTTTATATTATATAAATAATATCGCTGAAAGTAAATGAGATATGGAGGTAAAAAACAACTTATATACCTAGGTAAGCAAAGTAAATCCATTGAAACGTTTTTCTTATTAGACAATATAATATAATTAATCAATAAATAAATATAATATAATAATACTGTTATAATTATACCCAACGTAGGGAAAAATTATTTTTGGACATTTCCAGATATAACATTACTCAACAATTTCTTCACTAAAGTAATGAACATTTTGAAGGTTAATATGATATCGGTGTCCTTTGATATTTTAATCAAACTAAAACACTTCTATATTCTGCCTTTACATATAAATTTATTTAAGTTCCATTTTAACAAGCGAATTCAGGAGACGTTGCAAGAAATAAATTATCGTAGGTACGACCAAATATACATGGTCGTATTCAGTATTATGTCAAATGGCACACCTAATTTTTATTTTTATTTATTTCCTCTTTTTATTCTTTATATTGCACTTTTTTTTATTAGAATTTTTTTTACCAGTAAATACGTGTAGATAACTACAAAAAATAGTATTTTATTGGGTGTATTTTAAAATGAATTTTAATCTAACCAATTGTAAAGGTTTTAATCCAACAAAATTACATTATTCTCTAGAATAATAGTATACAATAGACGATCAGACTTTGTATTGTACTGATGTATGATAATAATAAAATATTTAAAAACGAAGTGAATTCTATGTATTAGATAACCTAAAAACATCCCTAGTGAAACTGATTCTATAAAAATCACACTGATTATCTACTTTAATAATACATTGATACAATAATTCAGGAACCAAAACTAATTGTAATTAGTTGGAGATATATAATATACATTTATTTAACGCGGGTTATTTGCGTTTAAGGATTTTGAATAAAATTGCTTCAAATTATATTTCTTTATTTTGTTATTTATTCATTAAGATTAAAAAAAAAAAAAAAAAAAATTATAATTGATGTGTATTGTGTATTTTGTATTATAAAGTAAGTATCTATCTGAATATTTTGAATATATTTGTGAATTAATTTGTTGTCTTACGTTGTATTTTTATTAATATAATAATATAATCAAATTGATAGATTATGGGAACTTTTTCAACTAGTATGGTAACATGAGAAACAACGCCTTCCGTGTAGGTATATTTGCACTTTAATAAAAGTAATAAGAATATGAAGAAAACAAGAAAACAAGAAAATAACACCAACAAGATGAATATGTAGAATACGAAATATAATATATTAGTAATGAAGAACATAGTTTTCACACATTTACATTTCCCAAGGTATAAAATATTTCTTAACATTTATTTTTTTTTATGAACTCAAATTATGAGAAATGTATAAATGAAATGCGTTTTGATATATAAATGTACCAAATGTCCAAATGTTTCTATATTGTAGAAGTATAAATATTGTAGTACATAGGTGTTTTATTTTAAATTTATTGGGTGAATATTGAATTATGATGATACCTACATTGTAAGTATTTTGAGTAGTTTGAGATTTAAGAATTGAAATGATAAGTATACTAGGTAATACGATACAATAAATGTTGTCTAAATATAATAATTTAGTTTGATTTGTCGAAATGTATTACCCTTTATAATGATATTTATTATTCTCTTTATGCAATTTAATTGCTATTGAAATAAATATTTTAACAATTATTATAAATTTATAACTTTGAATAAAGTATTTTGTAATATATTATTGTATACTTCAAAGTTTAAAGTACTGTTTGAACTATAAAGCGATCAAGATTCAATATACCTATCCATTATGACATAACGTCATACTATTTTTTTTTAAATTGTTAGATTAAATATTTTTAAATTATGTCAATAAGGTTGATCAGTTCATATTTAACGTTAAAATAAACTTAAAATAAACTTTTCAATTTAAATATAATTAATATTATCATTTTGTATCATTATATGGCCATGTATATCATAATTTTTTTTGTTTCTAAATCCAGAAATATTAAAAAAAATTCAAAAAATTTAAAATGTATCTAATACTTAATATTCATAATATAACTTAGAAAATAGTGTTATTTACATTTTGTAAGTCCGTAAGATCATAATAGTCATTGTTATTCATTGTATTCATATTTGTGCTTGCGAGCAATGCACATACTTTACCGCTGAATATTTAAAGTATGTACTTAATATATTGGCATTTAAATAATTTACTTTTTAACTTAAAATTAATAACAGTGAACAAACATTTGGTTTTTTAATATAATTAATAAACGTGGTGCAGTTTTTCTTTACCAAATAAACATAGGTAGTTAAACGGAATATTTGATTTTGTTTCGTTATTTTTTAGTTCGTAGATGGTTTAAAGTTTAAATATCATAACCAAATGTAGTTTATCGTAACATGTACTTAGGTATACAACAAATAGCAATTAAGACAAATATAAAGTTTCTGTGAAGTGTTGTTCATAAACTACAGCTATAAAACCAATTCATTATTATTTTAAATTCCAGTGTACGTATTGAAAAAATGCTTATATGACATCAGCCAATTAATCTAACTATAGATTCTCAAATGACAACCAACTAAAAGTTTTAATCATAAAAATAAATAAATTATAATTAATATTATTTGGCAACCACTACGTGCCCAGAATAAGTATTATACCTAACCATTGCCTATTGAATTGGATAAGAAGTATATGCATGTACTAAACATATTATAATAATTGAGAGCAAAATGAAAAACAGTGGTAATATATAATATATACTACATGGCGTTTATAATACATAAACACGTGTGCATATTACAACAGGATCAGCATTGTTTTGTATCGAACCATATTAGTTAGCAGCTATTTTGATGCGAATATTTTAATACCTGACTTCCGCTTCCGGTGTTGGTTGGCCCTTCGTCAATGATGGATGAACTTCCGGGCGCTAATGAGGCTGTAGCCAGCAACGTGGTCTCGGCCAGTCGTCTTCTGGTCTGTGCAACATTTTCGATGATGATACCCGGTTTCATGTCTCTGCTCAGCTGCGGTCTTCTCGCCGCCTTTGCTTTTCTGGCTCTGAGGTTTAATGCCTGTAACGAACATAAAACATAAGATCATTAATATCATTATAGCCAAAAGCCACTTATATTATAATAATACAATGTCATAATATATCGACTTAGTATTAATGAAATATTATAACGTCATATTTCCGAACAAAAACGACATATTATATTATTCGTTCTTTCGATCGTTTGAAAACATATATAAAAATAAATATATTCGGTCATATTTTATTATATCTTATTTGTGCATATTATAATGAAAAGTTAACTACTTGATATCCAATTTTCTTTTAAAGAGTAAGACTTTATTGCTTAATGCTTATATTTGTCAAATCAACAATTCATTTTGTATAGAATATGATATTTTGGGACGACGACGTGAGTGTTGCCGAATGAACGGAAAATCACTAACTGATAGGCGATAGGAATAACATTAATATGGGGTAAATAACCATTAAAGATACTGATCAATATTTATAAGATACTAGCTGATCCCGTGCACTTCGTCGCCCGTTAAATGGATCAACTCAATACTACCTACTCAAACTTTGTTCAATTCATTAACGTGTATGGTGTTCAAAATTTATCTTATCTTTCCCGTTGCCCTGAATAAAAATTCTGAATCGCAGCAGTACATTATCAGGTAGGCAATCTACCTGCGGTAGATCGCGGACCCCGTGCTGTTTGTACGGAAGTGTATGATTTAACTCTAAAGTATCAAAGTTATACCAAGTTTATTTTGATGTAATACTGTGGATTAATATAATAAATTTGGTTGCTCGTAAAAAATCACAACTCTTAAAAAAATTATGATTGTTGAACTCCTTTTGGGTGTAATTTTCTGCGGTAAGTGCAACTCTGCCACCCTGGTAAGCATTGTTCAATAATTCGATTTGATGCAAGCTTGTACCTGATCTGCCCGAATAACCAATGGCAACCAATAAATAAATGCTAATTTCTAATGTAGACTGTAACCAATGGCAACTATAAATAAATAAAAATAAAATTTCCAATTTCTATCGTGAATCTCAATGTCCCTGTTTCAGCACCTATTTAAAATGCGAATTTTGGCAAATCCTTTCTTAGCGCACGTCTATATTATAATAGCTATCCGTATGCCAAATTTCAGCCAGATCCGTCCAATGGTTTGAGCTGTGCGTTGATAGCAGTCAATCAGCTTACTGTTTTTTATATACAGATATGGTTGCCATGGTAATATGGACACACACACACACACACACACACACTGACATACATTCATTTTTATATATATAGATTGATATGAAATCTTGGTAACCTTAGTAACCATGGCAACCTTGGTAACCATGGTAACATGGACACACAGACACACAGACACACTGACACACTGACATACATTCATTTTTATATATATAAGATA